TTGTGAGTTGGTGTGCTGTTGCACAGTTTTGGTAACTCTTACCCCAGGAGTAGTAAGACTACCCGGAGTGTAACAGCTTGAAATTTATTTGTGAAGCAAAGAGATGCTTCTGGGAAATTCAGCCAATCAAAAAAAAACCCCCTAAATTATGGAAATTATGAAGGCTTTTCTTTATTAGAAACAAATGTTGATTTTTTTCTGTTTACACCCTAATTAAAACCATCCTGTGCAATTATAGTATGACCAAATTAGTATATTTCTGTCTGCTTTTCAACTGTTACAGCTGCATTCAAATCCTTCTTTGAGATCAGCTGAAAATATGTAGCTCCTTAAGAAGAGCTTGTAGAAGAAAAATTTGTGATAAATCCTGAGGTAGCCTAATAATTTAATCAAATATGTATCTGTGCAATATTTTGCAACAAGGAAACTTCGCTGATATGCATCAAAAGCCACAGTTTAGGTGCATATGCAAACTTACTAAAATATGAAGACTAGCAGTGATTTCTTTTTCTGTATAATTTTGAGTGATTCTCAGAAGTTATCCCAGTAGTGCCTAAAAATAATCCTTGAGTGTCTCCCAGAACATAAAGCTAGTTTTAGAAGCAATCTAACTATTTTTTAACCTTTATATTAATCTCAGCCTTGTAGAAGCATCTCTGACTGTGTATCCAGTCAGGTGTATGTATACATTTTTTCTATCCTAAGAAGTGAATCAGTAAGATAAAATAGAACTGCAAAAATTCAGTGTTGTATACATACATAAATCTGTTTCTCGGTGTGTAGACATACAAAATTTCTGCCTGTAATGCAGTCATAGCAGTCATGGGAGCTTCTCACACAAAATGAGAATTTAAAACAACTGATTTCATAACCAAAGTTCAAGGTTTCCAGTGTATGTTTATGGTGTATGCTTGTATAGACTGCCCTTACTGTCTAAATAGGCAGTTTTTTAATTGGGAGGTTTTAAAGTTGAATTGAAAGATTTAAAGGCTAAAGGCCTTCTGGGAATGAAGACTCATCTTTGCCATCCTCCCCAGTTAAGCTTCTAAAAATTAGAGCGATATTTGTGCCCATCCTCTGTTGTAGCCTGTTTGTGTCATTCAAGATAATCATCTTGATACCAACATGTGTTTTTCTTAACCCAGAAGTTTAAGACAAGATGTACCCTAACATATCCTGACACACATCTCTCTTCTTGACATACGGTCAGCAAAATTCAGGATGCAGGTTCAGGCTGATAAACCATGAGATTACTTTACAGAGCTAATGTCATATGTGTGTATGTGGACCTGTTTATTCAAATAATAGGCTTGACTGTGTAGTTAGAGTTAGAAAAGGTTATGAGTTATGTTTTGGATCCTTGGAGGTCAGTTTAATATAGTTTAAAGATTAAAAGATTTTTTCTATCAAATTGTGAGAAAGAGAACCACACAGTAAAATAAAATGTAATAAATAAATAAATAAACAAAATAAAACAAAATAATATTGATTAAATTAATAATCAAAGCGAGGCTGTTTGGACAAAGAAGGAAGAGCGTCAGTGTATGCTGCACAGATTGGGCTTGTCTCCTGCCTGGCTTAGAGCTGTATGCATGCAGTGGTATCTCTGTACTCACTGACTTCCTTGTACACATTGTCACTGGAGGCTTGGCTTAATCAGTTGTGAGCTGAAAAAAGTAATATAAATTGGAACCTTTTGTCATGAAGTATTTAAATGTTGATATGCTTTAATGGCTTCGGGGAGAAAATTTAGCATGAGAGATTGTAAGAAACAAGAAATCGATTACATGTAAGAAAGGACTTGAACTTCTAATCAAGTATTACCATATACAGAAAGATCCCCAGCTAGTTATAGCTAAATTCAAATGGGATAATGGTTAGATTTTTTGTTAATTTTAAGTTTTATCAAAAAATGACATTCCTATTCACTCTTTATCTAGTTTCGCATAATACATGCTTACAATGATTTATGGAAAGCTTTCACTGTGTAAATATTGAAGCATATGCTAGACTGTATCCATAAGCAGTGAGGGTTTTATGGAATATAGGCATCTGCATATTTCTCTTTACTTTAGTTGGGCGACAAGGGTCAGAAAACTTCTTGCTGAAAATTAACAAGATAAAGCTTTATATAACTAGTAGGAGTAGACAAGGATTATTTAAAAGCAACGTTCTGGTTCCCTGCTTTTTCTGTGACAACGAGGGTAACCCCATGACTGTTACACCCCTGACTGCCAGTTTCTCTGATCTGTGGGACTTCACAGCTGCTGAAGATCTGGTGCTCCTCATTGTAAATTCGTAAACAAAATGAAACAAAGGGTGGTGGTGTCTCATCAAGAGGTAACTCATGTAGCTAAGCGCCAGCTTTGCTCAGTTAAGATGTGGAATAATTCTCTGAAAGCACACAGAGAACCCCTGCATTTAAAGGCTTGCCTGCCTGTTCTATATATGCAGAGAGCTGGCTCTGCTGCCATCAGGGAAAAACTGTGTGACACGGCCTTCCCCTTACATGTGGGAGTCTGTTAGGATCTCTACCTACTACTCTCATGAGTTATTGTCGTGCTAGCTGTGATTAACTTTTAATTACTTATATATCGGTTTTTGTAAAGCACCCATCTGTTATATACGCTTGATTTACAAATTAAAAACAAAATAAAATGTAGCGCTAGTACATTACAAAGCAGCCTGCAGCTGGCTGCAGACAGGAATCCAAATACAATACAGGTAAGCAGTGTAAATTAGGCAATGTTATTTCCATCTTCAAACTATGGGGGTTAGAGTTAGAAGGAGTTATTATTTGTGATTTGGGATGGGAAATGTGTGCATATAGATGAGGTCAGATATGACAGCAAAGGCTTGGAGATCAAAATCTTATTTAAATCTGGTTTTGCACTTCCATGTAGGAATTACCCATATGTTGAGCTGCTGTGGTTGGCTGGATGTTGTTGAAGTAGATGTAAGAAACTTTCGACCTTACCCAAGAGGAGAGTAGCTGAAGTTGGGTGGGAAAAAAGTATTTAGGTGGAAAAAACAAAATATAATATTGGAGCTTTAAACTATGAACCTGTCCTTTAATTTTTTTTATTACATTGGTGGGTTTTTTTATCCTACCCCTCATCCCATTTAGGTTTTGTTTTGTTTCACTTATTTTTCTTGTTGGGGGAGATATTTGATGTTCTGGATGATTTAAGTTAGTACTGACTTCCTGTAAAATACTGCTACATCAAGAATTGTAAATCAAGAAATCAGAAATGTCCACTGTGCTTAGGGGTATTCAAAGGTGAACACATTTCCGTGGTAATGCTGCAAACCAAAACCTGCATCATGATGTTTCATTCATCACCAAAAATACAGACTCAACATTTTCTACACATAGATGGGGTTTGGAGCTTTCCATCTGGTAAGATTTTCCAAGTTATTGGCTGTTGGTTTCACTGTCTTTCAGGGTTCAATTGTAAATGTTCATGTGTGGAGCATTTCTAAAGATTTTGTAGTTGTATCTAAGGTACTGAAACATACATGTCATTAATCTTCAACATTAATTTTATACCCAGAGAGGTGAACTGAGCTGTACATATTCAAACTGAAATAACAAAACCAACACTAAGCAATTAAACACATACTTTAGTATTTGACATTGCAAAATTATATTTTTTGGTACTCTAGGAAATATGTGGGAAGAGAATAATCAATTGTCTGATGACTGAAAAGAATTAATTAATTTAATAAATTAAAAAATAAATCCAGGGCTGGAGGGGAAGAAAGGTATTTTCAGATTTCATAATCAAAAAAGAGTTAATGGTTTTTTCAATAGTGTGTTGTCCAAGTCTTCGGGTAAGGTTCTGAACCTGAGATTCAAGACATAAAATTATCAGAGGCAGTATGGTGGTGTGTCTTGTAAGGCTTTCAAACTGTTTAATGCATGAGGAAGCTTTGGAATAATTTCGGTTTGATGGCCTTCCACATTTCTTGTTGGTTATAGTTAGTGTGCTAATGTTATGTCCAGCATTTGCCCAAAAGGAAAGATGCCAATAAAATGATGTATTCATTATATAAGTATTTTAATATGTTTTTATCAATACTTGCTGGAATGGATTGCCTGACATTACACTGCAGAATTTTTAAGACCTACCTTCAGGCAAATCTCATGCTTACTAGCAAAAATGAAAGTGTGAAATGCTTTTTAATGTATATTTAACAACAGATAGTCTAGTGATTACTGATGTGTATTCTCTCTGGATTTTTCCCTTGCTATCAGAAGGCAATGTTAAGAGACAACATTTTTACACATTTATGCTATCTACATCCATCAGATCCTTACTTTTTACATATTTTTAACTGTCATTTATAACAAGGCTACAAAAAAATATAATCTCTCAAGTCTAAACCATATCAAGATTGCAAGCTTACAATCAATTGCCAGTAATAGTCCAGGAAAAGGGATTAAGGTACAAGTGTTATGTGCTGTTTTCAAGACATTTTGCCTTCCATCAAAATTTCTTGTGAAATGGCCTGTAAATGGCTTCAGTCTTACATCTGCTTGTACTTAAGGAGCAAATCTATCAATTGTATTTATTTAGCTCTTTCTAATAGTGTTACCATTTAATAGTAATTAAAGTACAATTTTTTGTATTTTACAGTGGTGTGTACAGCAACAGTTCTTGTTTTACTAATGTCTTCTAAACAGTAGCATTCTACAGAGGTCACTGTTGTTAAAAGTACTGAAAGCATTTTAGATCACAGGGTCCCTGGCTCTACGTTTTGTGTACTATAACACTATTAAACTCAATCTGGTTTTCTGACTGTGACTCTAATTGCAGTATTTGCATGGATGGAAAGTTTGTGTGGTTTGGTCAAGTTCTATTAACACTGTTTGCATCTTGTTTTTTGAGCTTAGTGTTTCACGTTCAGACAGCAGAGCACCTTCTTCAATAATTATGCAGAATCAATAAGCTTTTCTTTGTGTTTTGTCTTTGTTGTTTCTTTGATATGGCCTCTAGGATGCTGCAGGCAAGGTGCTGGACCGCTGGGCCATCATGTCCAGGGAAGAAGAGATCATTACCCTTCAGCAGTTCCTGAGATTTGGAGAAACTAAATCTATCGTGGAGCTGATGGCAATTCAAGAAAAAGAAGGGCAGGCTGTGGCTGTGCCATCTTCAAAGACAGATTCAGATATAAGGACTTTTATTGAAAGCAATAATCGCACCAGGAGCCCAAGTCTCCTTGCTCACCTGGAGAATAGCAACCCTTCCAGCATTCATCATTTTGAAAACATCCCGAACAGCCTTGCATTCCTGCTTCCATTCCAGTACATAAATCCAGTCTCTGCTCCACTGCTGGGGCTGCCTCCAAATGGCCTCCTGCTGGAACAACCAGCAATGAGGCTCCGTGAACCAAGCCTTACGACCCAAAACGAATATAATGAGAGCAGTGAATCTGAAGTGTCCCCTACACCTTTCAAGAATGAGCAAGCATCCAGCAGGAATGCTTTGACCAGCATCACAAATGTGGAGCCCAAAACTGAGCCAGCCTGTGTCTCTCCTGTTCAAACACCTACGCCAGTCAATGATTTATCAAAAACAGAACACACAAAAAGCTCATTCCGAATTCACAGAATGAGGAGAATGGGGTCAGCCTCCAGGAAAGGAAGAGTGTTTTGCAATGCATGTGGCAAAACTTTCTATGACAAAGGTACTCTTAAAATCCACTACAATGCTGTGCACCTGAAAATCAAGCATCGATGCACTATTGAAGGCTGCAATATGGTCTTCAGCTCTCTCAGAAGCCGTAATCGCCACAGTGCTAACCCCAATCCCCGCCTCCACATGCCTATGCTAAGGAATAACCGTGACAAAGATCTAATTCGTGCTACATCAGGTGCTGCCACTCCTGTCATAGCAAGTACAAAATCCAACCTAACTTTAACAAGCCCTGGGCGTCCACCGATGGGGTTTACCACTCCCCCTCTAGACCCGGTACTACAGAACCCTCTTCCCAGTCAGCTGGTCTTCCCAGCTTTAAAGACTGTCCAACCTGTTCCTCCTTTTTACAGAAATTTACTTACTCCTGGAGAGATGGTGAGTCCTCCAACCTCACTCCCAACCAGTCCCATAATACCAGCTGTGAGTGGCATGGAGCAGCATCCCCCTCCTCCTTCAGAGTCATCGGTACCTTCAGTGTTGATGCCTACCCCAGAGCCCAATGCAGACCTTGCCCCCAAGAAGAAGCCAAGGAAGTCAAGCATGCCAGTTAAAATTGAAAAGGAAGTTATTGACACTGCTGATGAGTTTGATGATGAAGATGAAGAGGTGAATGACAGGAGCACGATGGTGAATGACATTGGTCATGACAATCACTGCCATTCTCAGGAGGAAATGAGCCCAGGCCTGTCTGTGAAAGACTTTTCCAAAAGTGACAGAAGCAGATGTCTGTCCAGACCAGACATAAGAAGGGCAGACAGCATGACATCAGAAGACCAGGAGCATGAGAGAGACTATGAAAATGAGTCAGAGTCATCAGAGCCCAAATTATGTGAAGAATCCCTGGAAGGTGATGATCGCCTCCACGAACCTGGTGAAAAATCTATGATGCACAGTGACCAACCAGATGAAAACCACAATGACTCTTCTAACCAGGATGTCATTAAGGTGAAGGAAGAGTATACTGACCCTACATACGATATGTTCTATATGAGCCAATATGGACTGTACAATGGAGGCAGTGCCAGTATGGCTGCTCTTCATGAAAGTTTTGCTTCCACATTCAACTACAGCAGCCCTCAGAAGTTCTCCCCAGAAGGTGAAATGTGCTCCAGCCCAGACCCCAAGATCTGCTATGTTTGCAAGAAAAGTTTCAAGAGTTCCTACAGCGTGAAGCTTCACTACCGAAATGTTCATTTAAAAGAGATGCATGTCTGCACAGTGGCTGGCTGTAATGCTGCGTTCCCATCACGGAGAAGCAGAGACAGGTCAGTAAATATTAATTGATTTTCTGCATTATTAAATGTGTTGAATTATGGAAGAATAGGCAGTTTAGGCTATATGAAGAAATAGAGAGATGCAGAGTAATGACAAGTGACAATTGTGTTCCCATGACATTGAAAGAGATTTAAGATTTTCATTGTTCCTTGGCATTCAGAGTGGTGTATATATTGTGCCATCCTCTTAAGTGACTGACTAGATAATAAATGTCGCTATACTTTCTATATTCCTATGGACATGTGTATTGTACTTCTGTTTATAAGCTACAACCCTCATTACATTTATTTTCTTCTACCTGTAACATTTAAAATAAGAAAATCTTATATTAAGTGCATAGTAAATTATATACAATATAAACATCTCCATGCATGCATATCAAACCATAGAGCTAGGAAGGAGGGCAAAGATGGATGGGTGGTTGAATGAATGGATGGAGATTGGTAATAAAATGCTGGAATTATTTCCATTCTCATAGGGAATTTTCCAAGTGTCCAAGTGTCCAAAAGCAAACAAGAAGTATTAGAAGGTTGTTCTTTACCATCTTTAATTTTTAAAACTAAGTTCTATGTTGTGGTGAGAACAAGATTAAGAAAATCATTGTTTCTTTAGTAGAACCTAGACACATCTCTATCCACTATGATCATTTAGTCTCCCTTATTTTTTTCTTCATGTGAGCAACTCCGTTCTCCACCAGTGGAAATGATGCACATTCAGAGAGAAAAGGCTTCCCTACATATATTTAAGATCAACCAGGGTATATTCTCCTGGCTCTTCAGATGACATCATGCCCAAGCTATGCTGCATCAATACAAAAGCAGTTGGGTTAAACAGAAGCACCTGGTCCATAAATTCTTTGGTTTAGGGGGATTATTTTTTGGCTGGGTTTTTTTGGGGGTTTTTTGGTTGGCTTTTGTTTTGTTTTGTTTTGTTTTGTTTTGTGTTAGTTTGGTTGGGTTTTTTTGCTTGTTTTGGGGCTTTTTTGGTTAGTTTTTTTATAGACTGTTCTTTTTGATTGCTGAGGAAAATGTAATATAAATGGAATTTGTCAAGGTGATAGGATAACATGTTTTTTCATAATTGTGGATAAAAGCTTTCTCATTTGATGATCAAATTGTCACATAACAAAATCTCTCTGGTTCATGGAGTAATGATGAAATTGGGTCACCTCATTTCTTTTACTTGTGTTTCATATTTTTTCATTAGGCTATAAAAATTCAGCAGGCACAGGAAGGAAATTAAATCTAGCTAAACATTTTATACATAGCTTCTGATTATTTTTGTATTTTTTTCATTTAAATCAATGTGGGTTTAAAAGGAATGTTTTGCATCTTATAAAATAAAAACAAGTTAGTGTTAAGGATACTGTGGAACAAAATTCGCTGTGTTGAGGAAGAATATTGTCCCCAAATATCTCATGTCTTCTCTTATAATTTATGAAATCCACTAAACAGAAAATTGTGAGCAAACATAAGAATACAAGTTCAAAATACGTAAGAAGGACAATCTAGGAAGTTTGCATTTCAGTAGGCTAAACTAATGGATAAAAAGCAGGTAGATCTAAATTAAGACTCCTTTTCTTGCTGCGTGCTGATAAGTTTTATGAGTCTTGAATTTGGCAAGGGAAGTATGTGAGTCAGTGGCATAATCTATGCTAAGTTTAGATATGTACAACCCCTTTTGGTTTCTGAAATCATAGTCTTTGTTAATCAAGAATTTCTTTTGGTCAGTCTGTTGCCTTAAATGAATTAGGAAAAATCAGTCATGTAGTACACAAAACAACTTTGATTTGAGCATGTGAAACAAGAGCTGATTAGCTTTAGGATTTGGAACTTTATGTAGTGTATTAAAATTCAGCAGTAATATATTGAAAGATCGAGGTAGTAATAAAGTTAGCATAGTAAATATTTAGATATTCTAAGAAGGAGTGACTGTGATGACACATATAAAATATTTCCAAGACAAGAACCTTCAAATAGGGCACATTTTGAAATTTTTTTGTGATCTACATACAGAATCTATCTACAGGATACTGCTGTTAATCTTATTGAAAGCAAGCATTAAATAAAAATCTGATTTAGTATCTTAAAATGCAAGCTGCATATTTAAAGATAAAATTATTATTTGCATATTATTTTGAGTTATGTAGTGCACATGGCCATCTTCCTACATCATTACATTAGTAACATTCAGAATATGATTCACTTATGTGTTGCACCTGGGACAAAATTGCATGTTTTATTCTTTAAATGCAAAGATTTAAGAATGGTTCTGTAATTCAATTTGCATGCCCTACTAGTTTTTGTTAGTTGTTTATCAGTTTTGGTTTGCAACAGTAGTCAGGAAATACCTTGAAAGAACCAGGAAATAATCTCATGGTTCAGGCTAATTCTTTTAGATATTTGAGCAAGAAACATATACAAAGCTTTCCTGGGCTATCCATTTTTATCCAGAAGTGCAACGTCTAGAAATGTGGAGAAGTGAAAGCATATGTACAGCATATCAAAGAAAGAAGATGAAAGATTTAAGTAACATTTTCTAACACTTTGTCCAAAAAAGGGCAGTTTTGTTAAAAATAAAGTTTGGAAGTGAAATTTAAATTAATATATTCTCTCCACTTTTTTTTCCTGATGTTGGGGGTTTTTTGTTTTGTTGGGAGGGTGATTTTTTTGTTTACTTGCTTCTTTGCTTTGTTTGTTTGTTTGAAGGTCTTTTGCAAACTGTTTAATTACCCCCAAAATTCTCCCATTTAATTTGTTTTAGTTTTTTTTCTCATTTTCCTTTTGAATATATAGGGATTTTTTCCAGAGGGAGTATATACAATTCCCAGCTTTTCGGATTATAGAAATCGCCAAAAAGATAACTGGATAATTAGAATAATAGGATTGCAAAGTGAGAACTTCTTCCAGCCACTTAAATAATTTTCACTTAAAAATTCAGGAGCATTTTGCTAACAATTGCTGTATGAGAAATAATGGTTAGCTACCTACAGCATACAGTAATAACTCCTGGATAATATTTGAAATGGATTTACATCCCATTTTGGACTCATTACAAAAGTCTCTGTGATATGCTTGTGTTGTGAGTCACTCACATAATCTTTGGTTAGCTAGAGTGTTTTTGCTTTGAAAATTGAAATTAATTATTTTCAGTACTTTCAGTACTATTTCTGTAATGAAATCAGAGTTCTAGCTATTCCATAGCTTCACAGCCTGTGAAGTTTTTATCTCTTTTTTGTCGTTTTATTAAGCCTACTGCTAGCATTATATTAATTATATTATTAATCCTATTATAACTACTTAGATATCTAAAACTCACAGCTCTTGCTGTGTTCTCTAATAAAATACAAGTTTAAGTGGAGACAGATAACATGGCCTAAGTCCTTTTCCAATGAAACTCTAGTTAATCAAAGGTTAATCAAATATTCCCCCTGCCTTGTACATACACAAAACTCCAAATGGTTGACAGCGGGTGGAGTTCTGTAAAATCGGCTTTGGAAAGGAGGGGTTGCAATACAGACTGCTTGTTACCAGAGGCAGGAGATCACATCAGGAGCAAAAGTGCTGCTTTGATGAAGGAGGGGTTTTATCTGTGTCAGGGCTGCAACCCACTCCTCTTTGCAGAAAGCATCCTGTAGCAATTTGTGCTAAGGTTGACCAGATCTAGCTTTATCATTCCTGCATCATTTGTGCCAAGATCAACACCTGCATAAATATCCTTCTGCCTGAAACGCTGAAATACCCTCTGAGATCTTTGGCTAACTAGTGCTAGTCTTTTCAAATTATGGTCAAGATCGCCAGAAGATTTCAGTGTCCCACTTCACATGTGTTTTTTCAATTCAGGAGGAAGGAAAGCAAAGTAACTTTTCCTTTCTATGAAAGATCCAGTAATTCTGTTATCACTCCTAAAAATTAAACAGCATTGCTTTTCAATAGTCAAGATCTGCTGAGCCTAGATATTTTTAAAAGCACTTATTTCCATCATTCTTCTGAGTAACATCACTAATTAAATCAGCCTTAATACCTAGATTCTTTGGTGTTTTCCTCTGAGAAATCTTTCTGACTCTCTTTAACTACTAGCACTAGACTTATGTAAACCACTTTTTCTTCCGTACTTCAACAACCACTTCCTGAATAGTTGTTCATCCATTTCTGTTCCTGTATTTATTTCAGATGTCCTTTCTTCTGAAGACATGATGTTCAGGCTAAGTCTTGTTGCAAAAAGACAATGGAGAGTACGTAGGAAAAGAGATCATACTAAAAATTTTGTCAGAAACAGTGTCATAAGCCTCCTTTTGAATGGAAAGACATCTTTTCACGTAACTTTTTAAATGGAAAAGAAATGGGAAGAAGATACGTTTCCTTGAGGACTGACCAATTGAATGGAAAATTTTTCCTTGTGGATTGAATTCTCTCTGGAGTCAGAGAAGATTTTTCCTGCAAGTGAGAAGAAGAGGCCAGTGGCCACAGTGGTTAGAATCCCCTGGGATCTCTTTCCCAGCCTCATCTATGAGTTTTGTCCCAGCACGTACTGAATTTGGCTTACAAAGTGATAGGTGTGGTTAATCCTTGAAGTCAGCACTGAGGTACAGCTGCTCAGGGAATGATCCTGAGCTGTGGATGTGACATGTGGATGGGAGGAGGGAAGAATTATTTCCTGACCAAAGGGGACAGCAATGCCAAAGTTTCATCCAAGTCTGTGCTCAGGAGCATATCCAGAAGTAAAGGTCTGAAAGGTGCAACTTAGAGTGGTTGGCTTCATTTTGATCTCTTACCTATAAGAGCCAAGAATTTTGTGGTTAAAACCAGTGATGAAACAGGTGGCAGGTGTTAGGTCTTGTAGAGAAACTAATTTTTTTTTTTTAAATGAGAGATACAGCCATCTTCTCAGTTAGACTTAGTGCATGCTAAATCCCAATTTCACCTCAGTACTGACACTATTAAAATCAGTAGGTTTTAAGCTAGAGTGCAACATTAATAACAATAGGTTA